GTGCATGGATCGATGCTCAACCACTGAGCCACACTAGCTAGACTCTATTAATTACTTTAAAACACTGACCAATCATCTACCAAGTGCTATGTTAGCTGTTACCCTTGTTACAACATGTATATTGTACAACTGCATTATTCTAATAACAACATTGTGATTCATAAAAACATGAATATGAGCAGCTACTATTTATGCGAGCACTTACTTTGGGCCAGGCCCTGTTTCTAACACTTTAATTAAAATATGATGTATTCTTTACAATAACCAAAATGTCATAGGTATTATTTTACATTTTTACAGATAAATCTGAGCCTCTGCAAGGTTGCAGGACTTGGGCAGGTTGCAGGGTTGAATGGTTGCTGGAATTCTCTCTGAGATCTGACTTGAGAACCGATTGTTAGTCCTCACTTGTCATTCCTAAGAAGAGAAGAGAAAACCAAGCTCCGATCCAAACGAGTCATTCATGTTCTCTCAAGGAGAGTCATAACAGAGTCCGGATCTCTATTTGGGTCTTTGACTCTAATAACAGTGCTCATTTCGCCACTCTGCATACTCTCATAGTTAAGGGATGAAAAGCCTTGATGGAGGCATGTTAATTAGTTAAATTAAATCGAGGTCCTAATTAACATTTCTGAATGGAAACACTCTTATAACAACAACAACAACAACAACAACCCATCTGAGTGGCAAGTGATCTACTCATTTCTTTCCTGTGGGAAGAGCCGTATCTGTCAGCTACCAGTTGTTCAGTAGCATATGTACCAACCTCAGGTAGACATAATCCTTGAGGCATGTCTGTATGTACCTAAGATGCAGTAAACATTCTCTTTACTAACGGGTTCATGTCTCGATATAGCTCAGAACAGAGAACGAGCAATGTCCTCAACCGGAAAAAGTGCCAGAAAAACAGAGGGAACAGGAGGGCTTCTTTTTCCTCTGCCCCAAAGCACATAGATTGAGGGTTGGGGGAGGGAGGGACTCAAGGATTAATGGATGTGACAGTCCTTTTCTTTTTAGGTGTCCTTTTAGGAATTAAGAAACTGAGACATAGTGAGGTTAGGCAAATTGACTTAGGTAATCGCTTTGTGGTTAGACTAAGTCAATATCCAGAAAATCAAACTTCTATTCTTTGGCCCGTTTATATCCCCTGCCTTCTTAGGATCACTATCAAGATCAAATAAAATACTCAATGACTGTCTATTTCATATTTTAAGCCTGAAAGACAAACTTATTACTCCTATTTTTCCACATTTAAGTGTGAGGGACATTTAAAAAATTCTAACAAACGTTGGGGGAAAGGGAAGAGATCATCATAGCAGTGTGTGGAAATTATATGGCAACCAAAACAAAACAAGCGCCTACCCCCTCCTCCAAAACAGCAAATGGCAAATGAATGACAGCAAACCTAAGGCCTCCCTTATACACAGGTGAGCAAAAGTATGTGTACAGTTGTTCATATGGAAAAAGACATACAGATTATTAACCCAAAAGAATGTCACAATGCAACTGTAAACCTACTATTCCCCACCCCTGTATGTCCGTCTGTTTGGGACACATAAGCTCATAAAGAAGGAAAGTGAAATTTAACATTTTGTATTATTCTTTAAAAAAATTAATATTCCAAAAAATATCTGGATTCCATAACAGATCCAAATTGGCATACAACAATATGTCATCACTAACTGTTAAGATGCTAGAATGTGTAGAAATTTGTTGAAAGTTTCAACTATTAAATAAATTGCAATTTTTGATATAAATAAGAAAATATATATGTGAATAACCATAAATAACTGAGAAACATTATAATAGAAAGAAGCAAAAAAGAGCTTACATGAGAACTTTTAGATTTGGAGTGCTTACTGGCTACTCCTTATTATTATAATTGAACTGTGTTCAGGTCATTTTAAGATAAATCTAACTTTAGAAAGGTAGGGTGATTATGAAATCTGGGTCACCTGAAGTAATGCTGTAGCGCTGAGAGCTATCTACCTGCCCATTTAAAAAAAAAAAATTGTGCTTCTCCTCAAGCTAGTTCTTCTAGGAAAATGACTTGGCCTCTGGAGAATTCTATCTCAGATGTTTTTCACTCTAAAACTAAGTTACACCCTACGAAATGAGTTTGAAAGTGAAGTTTTCCAATACATAGGCCAGCTTCCCTCTTATAACTGAATCTGCACAGGAGTTCTCCCTTTTCCTAGAGAAATAGGCTGAAAATAGTAGCTAGGTTATGATATTGGTCCATAGTACCACATTCCATCGTATTTTAACTATATTTATAAATATTGTTATTAATAGTAGTCTGTCATCTGGAAATGAGATTTTTAAAAAATAAAGGAAGAATTGTATTCAACTCTCACCAAACCTTTCTTGTGCATCTCCTCTGTGCCAGGTGCACTGCTCTTGGTGCTGGACTAGAGTAGGCAGGGCGCCTGCTTACACAAAGCATAGAGTCTGGTAAAGATTAATTTTCTTTTTGGGGGTTGGGGTGGGGCAGAGGTACAGTACATGGCTAACATAAGTAATAGGATGAAGGGAATCCCTGTTTTTCCTCTCCATGTCCCTGACCCCCCAACACCAGGACACCTGGTTCACTGGTGGCATTAGAAATCATTCACTGACACCCCCACCTAGACTGGCCCTCACCCCACATCCTTCAGCTTTCAGGTAGCTGACTGGGACTCATGGGGCAGTACACCTGCCCTTACACTCACGTGTTCATGTCAGAAACACCCAATTCCATTGCTGTGGTTTATTGCGCATAACATGTGTTAGCAGCATTGATCAGCATTATCATCCTTATCACTTGGGTCAGGAAATACTTATTCCTGACTGATATCTTTGTCAAAATATATTTATTAAAATATAAATCACAAGTAAAAATGAAAAATACTTTGGGGTAGCTTGAACATTATTATGAGAGGTTATAAAAGATGGAAATCATCCGTGGAAAGTATTTTCTCCACTTCTAAAGATGCTGAAAGAAAGGCAATTTTAAAGCAATTTTCCCAAGGCTTAATAGCTCTTTTTTTTTTTTTTTTCCCCAAGGAAGTATACTTAAGATTTAATCTAATTCCTTCTTGTTATTGCTTAAGTTCATTTTCTCGTATGTTGTCAATAGATGCTTATTAACATATTTGTTCAAAGAATAAGGGATATGATATTCTTTATCATAATCTTTCCTCAAGATAAAGGTAAATTGAAACACTAGGACTAGCATTTGAAATATGTGACTTATTTAGTTGGCACAAATCAAATATAACATACCAATTATATGAGTGTTCTTAATTTCTTAATGTTTCCTTATAATGGATTCATTTAGAACAAATATCTCTGTATCTACTTAGAAAAGAGATGATAATATTTGTTATTGTGCAGTTTGAGTTAGCTGATAATCTTACCGTGTACCAGGCATTGGATTGATTGCCTTTATGTGGATTTTCTCACTTATGTGCATTTCTTCTTTAATCATTATAACCATCCTATGAGGTATTGTCTCCCTATGAGGGAGAAAAAGGAGGCTTAGAGATCATTCAGTTGGGTAATGCTGGAGCTGCAGTTTGAATGTAGGGAGTCCACTACCAGAACATGCATTCGTAATCACTCTGAAAAATAAATATCCATTAACCAATCATATCAGGAAACTCATCAGTCACACTAACTGTTGCCTCAATTGGCCTTGGGTTTGGAAGAATTAACTGCTGTGTTGACCTGCTTAACTTTATAGCACTAATCAGACTGAGGGTTTTGTTTTTTTTTTTTTACTTTTTCTATTATATAAATGTATTTTTTTATACATGGATAAATGAGTTTAGAACTTGACAGTATTGGCTGCTGTGAAATTTCAAGTGCCCTCTTAAAAGAATTTAGATAATTATCTGGACACAGATAACTAATGTATCCTTATGTCTGTATGACCTACATTTTTTGGAAATGTAATTATCCATGATAAGTGTTTTGTAGAGAAAGGGTATGAATCTGTCTTTATTCTTTATGTCAAAATAGTGACACCTTTATTAAGGTAATGTGATGGCAGATGCATGATACTGTGAGACCTGCCAGTGGATGTGTCCAGTGTGCTATTTGGAGTCTAAAAAAAGCCCTAAGACCAGCCATCAGAGCCAGCCACTGTTTTAGATGAAGTGCCTTGGGAATGGAGCGTACAGGACTAACTTGGCTCCACATCTGTGATATTCAAAGTGAAATAGAACACCAGTAACAGGTGGAGTGGATCTAGAGAAAACACCAGGTTCTAGATGGCATAACATCATCCAAGCAGTGATTAACATAGGGCAGGACAAGGGAGAGCTTCTGCATGTTAGCTGTCTGTTATGATTTTTCTGAGAAAATGTAGGATGTTTTCTTCCTCAACTTGTGATTATCTTATAAATAAAATGTGCAGGGTGGAGCAAAAGTAGGTTTTACAGTTGCTTTTATGGAAAATAATACAATAATGAATAAAGAGTAATACAAGAATAAACTCTGTATTTCACGTACTTATTATTGTAAACCTACTTTTGTCCCACCCTGTATATTACTATGGATATAATATAGACCATAGAAGAGATCCTATATTTTAGAGGACTGTTACACAAAAGTATCTAATTTCAAATACTTTAGTCATGAGAGAACTGAAAAACCTCAATACTTATATTTAATAAACAAAGTATAGTAGCCAACTAATGAAAGCTAATGGCTTTTATAAATTCGAGTCTGCACATACTTGAAATAAAAGCTCAGACTTATTCAAATTATTTGAGCTAACTACAGGCAGCATGCGTGTGTGTGCACACATTACTTGAATGACATTAGACTGAAATGGTTATTGTTCAGTGAATTGATATCTGAATGTTACTTGGCTGAAAAAACTGTCTTACACATCAAAAGGCACTAAACGTTTTGTGCCTTTTCATGATCTACTTGCCAGTTACATGAGCTGATGATGACACGTTCTAACTATTAAAATATGAGCCTGGTTTCTCACTGCTATCCTCTGCCTACAGGTTGTATATAAAAATAATGATGTAAGGCTGGAATTATCTCGACTCGCCAAGCAAGGAGACCCTAAGATGAAGATACATGGAGTCGTGGCGTTCAAATGTGAGAATGTTGCAACTTTGGACCCAATCACCTTTGAAACCCCGGAGTCTTTCATCTCTTTGCCTAAATGGAATGCAAAGAAAACAGGCTCCATATCATTTGATTTCCGCACAACAGAGCCAAATGGCCTCATCTTATTTAGCCATGGCAAACCACGACACCAAAAAGATGCCAAACACCCCCAGATGATAAAGGTTGACTTCTTTGCTATTGAGATGCTGGATGGCCACCTCTACCTCCTCCTAGACATGGGGTCAGGTACAATAAAAATCAGAGCCCTGCAGAAGAAGGTGAATGATGGAGAATGGTATCATGTGGACTTCCAGAGAGATGGACGGTCAGGTAATTTATCTCTTTTCTGTGTTATCTGCTGGAGCAGCGCATGCACCCCTCTCTGTTCCTGAGGAATTAAAACCAAGACATATTAAAGATTTTCTGCATTTCTGTCTTTAGGATAAAGGAAATTATTTGTTACTATTTCTGTTTCACATCATATACGAATCAGATGGGCATCAAACCCCAAATGTTCAAATGGCTTCTTAAGTGAATATCTATTAGATAATCAAGTGCCTAATCTTGCTAGAAATGTTATCTTGAATTTATAAATGACAAAATTTAGCGTTTTAACATTACCAATTAGGTCTTATATCACTGGGTTTCTGGAGGTACCCAAAATGACAAATATAAAATATGAAAAAAAAAATTTGCACACAAAATTCTTAGTTTAATACAGCCCACTTTTTATCTAAGTTGAGGCTAGGGTATCACAAACACTTTAATCAATGGAATAGTGTTTCAAGGACACTGGCAAGATGCTGCCTTTCAAACAGCTTTCCTCCCTGGTGAAAGGTGTTTGGGATCCCACCAACGGGGATTCATTACTCTGGAGGGTTTACTGCACCTGTTCTCCTGAAGCTGTATGTGTCAGGGGAAGGAAGGGATTTGTAGGGAAGGCCTAAAGGAATAACATTTCATTACTCTGAAATTTTGGAGTGAATTAGGGAGCATAGGAAGGTTAATAGCATTAGGCTTGGAGGGGTGGGTTAAGAATCATCTCGGCAGAGATCGTAGCATTTGTGAATGGTGAGAGACTATATTTTACTTCATTTACTTTCTTCACTCTGACTCTGTGCTCCCATACTCTGATTGTGTCTCTTCCAAATCAAACTATGCACTTATAATAAAAGACAACTGAATTTAGACCTAGCCACTCTCTTCCTCTCCCTCCCCAACTCTCTCATTTGCACATAAACTATACCATCCACTCTGAATTCTCCACTAGATAGCAGTAGAAACTTGGCCAAGGCATTTGGGGGACTGGGAGCTGAATTTCTTGTTGTGTAAAACATACTTAGCGGACCCAGTTTCACTGCACCCCAGACCCAGTGAAGTGGGATCAACAGTTAAGGGACCTAGGATCCTGTATCTTTGCAAAGCTTTCCAGGGGACTTGATAATCAGCCAAACTTGAGGACCACAGACAATGGGACATTTAGTGCTTCTTTCAGATCCAAGAATCTGTGATTGTCATCCTATTTGAGAAGGCTATGCTGAAGTCCTGGGACAGAACTGTTTTTCTCACAACTCTTCCATAGATTCCCTTGTCACTAGTTTACTCCTCTGCAGTGGAACAATTTCTGATTTCACCATTATTTATGCTTTGTTTTCCTGTTTATCAATCAAGAAGACTGTGTTTACTTTCCTGGAAATCTCTTGTTTTGCCCAATAAAATGAAGAAATGGAATGTATGATAATTAGGAGGGAGCTGGGGGTGAGGGAGAAAAATTGGAGGAAGGTCAGAACCCATTGCCCTGATCCCCAGGTATCACAGAGACTCTTTGTCCTCACTCTCTGGAAACTTGGTCTCTCTACATTGTCGTTTCATTTCCATAAGGAAGTCCACAAGGATGGTTAGTTACCGTTATGTGGAGTGTGTGCCATATCATCGTTTTTTCTTGAAAATCTTAGATAATTGAGAGTAGACAACAAAGTATTTTTCTTGCTGCCCTACTATCCTGATTAGGAAGTGGAGTCCACTTGTTTTTCTGATTTACGCTGAGAAGAGTGTACTGGTGGGAACACAGAAGTATAGCAATATAAGTATAGCCAGAGCCTTCCACTGGCTCCCCTCAGCCTATGTCTACCAGTTAGCAGGGGTAGTTCCTAAGTAATTTGCTACTTAGGAACTTATAAACAGAAGATGTAAAAGCGGATGGGCATACAGACTAATCTTGTGTTTTGGAATACTAACTTGTGAATATTATCATTTGACTTAAAGTGCATCTAGAACAAAATTTTAAAATTGATTTCCGAGAATATGTATGTTTATGGTCAGGCTTTATTGCACAATGAAGCATAACTGATCAGATTAGGTGGACATCTTTTGGAAGATCAGAGAGATGAAGAATACCACACTTCAGATCAGTTGTATTTCATTCACCTACGAATGAGTTATTTTCTAATTATATGAAGAAACACACAATGTCAAAATTTTAGGAAATGCAAAAGAATATAAAAAGGAAAAATAAAACCACCCATTATTTATTTATTTGATAATAATGATTTATACCTGGCTATTTCTTTCCTGGCTTTTAAAAATATATATTTATTTTTTATGTTTTCATTTATTTTTTCAAAGAGAGAGAGAGAGAGAGAGAGAGAAACATTGATGTGAGAGAGAAACATATATCACCTGCCTCCTGTACATCCCCTACTGGGGACCACAACCTGGGCATGTGCTCTGACTGGGAATCAAACCGAGACCTCGCAGTCCAGGAGATGGCGCTCACTCTATGAAGCCACATTGACTAGGCAAAAATCTATTTTTAATTATGGTTGATATACAATATTACATTAGTTTCAGGTGTACAACATTGTGACAAACTTATATACCCTTTCCTGGTTGTGATCACCACATTAAGTCTGGGAACCATCTGACTTCAGTCTTAGGTGGCGATGCAATCTGGTTCCCTCAAGTTCTTCGGATGACCTATTAAAGTAAGGGTCAGATAAGTACCGTGATGTGCAAGCAGAAAAAAATCTACCTTTTCTGTTTAAAGTTCTTTAATTTATTCATATTACAAATAGTTTATTACCTGTCCTGTTTATGCCCTCATTGGAAAAGGTCAAAGCAAAGAATATCTGCTATAATTTACAAAGTTCAATGCAAGAAGGGAAGAAGAAAGAGATGCTTTAAAAGAGAGTTAAGTAAGGAAACAAAACATGAGATTTTTGTTGGAATTGAATGGAAAAATTAAGATACTATGCTTGGTGCTGTTTGCATGGCAAAGTACATTTATGTGATTACAATTTCAGGTTAGTGAACTAGAACAAACACTATAAAAACCAAAGCTTATTCACTAAACTAAGTTTTGCCCTTTACTAAATTGAAAAAAAAAAAAAAAAGATGGCTCATATTATGTTGGCCAAGCTCAAGGGAGTTTAATGTAATTTTAATAACTGCAGCTGTTAATATTTTATATATAGTATTTTAATTAAGTTCTATATTTACACACTACATTGGCTTGGTATAAAGCAGCCTTTAAAAGATTGAATGAATAACTATACTAACTTTCATTTTACTTAAAGGATAACTTTGAGTGAGGCTGGTGAAATACAAAGATGTATAGCTCAGTTAGAACTAAGAATCATAGAATTTCAAGGAATACTTTATTTTCCTCATTTTTCACATCAGTAATATTCAGAGGCTATGTGAAAAGTACTCTTAATATAATGTGGGGATGACATTACCATGACAGGAGGGCAGTGTGGGCTGCTTTCTGACGCGTGAATGATGAAGGTCATCTCTATTGATTTGCCTGGGATACTCCTTAGTATATTTAAAAGCATTTAATGACCCATGTTTTCTCTGTTATTAAAGTAGAAGGAGCCCAGAACTAAGAGTTATTTTTTCTGCTATTGATCATACTAAAGTAAGTGGGAAAAGAGCCATGGCCATCAATTTGATGCTAATAACTTTTTGTGATCTTGGTTGGAGTTAGGGTTAAAACTGTATTTGGTAGATAGACTGTTTTTTTAAATATTTCCCAAACAGTTTATAATGAAATCCATGCATGAGAGGCAATTTCTTATTTATGTTTATACCCACAGATCCTTGTACTTTCTTACACAAAAGCAGTTGCTCAATAAATATTTGTTATAAGAACAAATAAAGAATAAAACACGTGAAAGGCTCAGTAGCAACCCACCCCTAATATTTTTAAATATAGCATCATCCTTATGTTTGAAGGGCAGTAGCATCCTTTTAGTTGTAAATGTGAACTTTTTAAAGGAATTACACTGCTTCCTGAAAGCAGTTTACATACTATACTATAGGATAACAGGTCTTGTCCTTCTTTTAAGGATACAATACCATCCTCCAAGCACAGATATCAAAACAAAACAAACAAACAAACAAAAAAATGCAGTGAAGGAGGTAAATGATTGTTGGGGAATGGTGGTAAGCCTGGCACAACACTGACAAACTTTTATTAGAACAGGGCTGTTATCCCTGCTTGTTCATGAGATCCCCGTGTCATTTAGCAAACATGTAGGTAGAGAGATAATTAATCATGAGGGAAGGTGCTCACTCCTTTTTGGGGACTGGGGTATACAGCTACTGTATATGTGCTAGTGACAAGCAAGATAGTCACCAGGATGCCCATCTTTCTAATGATTGGCTCTCCAGTCCTTTGTTCAATAAAATATTGCTATATGAGCCCTTGTTTGATGAGAAATAGTACCTTCATCTGAATACTTTTCCAGGACTCAATTTCAGAACAATTCGTTGTCTTGGGCTGTATGTCCCTCTTCTATTCTATGACATGGGAAAGAGAGGAGCACTTTAATCCCCACACTTTGACTAATATAGTTTGGCCACAGCTGTTCTCTTTGTACAGTGTAGCTTCTTTCACTGCATGCTTAGTCTACCGCCGGTGACACGGGAGGCTGAGTGGGCTGAGCCGTGAGTGGCATTTGCAGTCCTACACTAGCCTGGCAAAGGAGGAACTATACAAAGGCCAGGTGTGATTTTATAGATCAGAGTGCATGGCTTGAGAGCTGCAAAAGGTGGATGTCCTCCATGGACAGCTTAGCTACTCAGCAGAGTGAAAGCCCTAAGTCATTGGGTTAATAAATGTGGTTGAAGAGGCTCTTTACTCTGCAAACTTTGCAGGGCTTACATGTCCTTACCAGCCCCTCCTTCCTTTCCAGGGTTACCCTTTCTTTCTCTTTTGCTCCCAAACTCAACACCAAACAACTGCCCAGGTATTTAGCTAAAGTTTGAATTTAGTTTAAATTAGGATGAGGTTAATGATTATTTTCTGGGGTATTTATATTGTTTAA